TTGTTAATGAGAGGGTGCAGCTCAAATGACAGCCTAATTAGATGGGTATTCACTCAGACTAACACGGCTGCAGTGTCTTGCTGACACACTGTAAGAGAAAATGTGTGTGTGTGCTCTTTGTAGAGTTTCAGACAGCACACCCACGGACTAGTCTCGGAATCTCTCAGAGTTAGAGAGTACTGTGCGATTGAAAACTTGAAAGACTTGAGAGACACTAAAAGACTTGTCAAAAAGCCCCAAAAATGAATTTATTCAACCTTGAGTATACTTTTTTTATGCATACATTAAACCCACAGCATAAAAATTTTCAAAGTGATATACTTTGATTAAAATGTTTATTTAAAGTCCCTGTGAAAATCATCATAAAGTTTTTTAGATGTCAGTATTAGTATGATAGTCTTAATGATACGGATTAAATTCAATTCAGTTGTATTCAGAGTCCATAATCAGCCCTGCTTTTAACAACCATTTTATCAACGTTTCTGAAAGAACCTTGCAACAGTTTTTGGTTATTCAGACCCCGTATAGATTTTCGTGATTTTGCCGTAGCTCAATTTAATACAAAATAAAAAAAAAAGTTGAATTTTTTGCGACCCTGCAAAATTCTTAATTTAAACACAAAATAATTGCAAACAATTTTAATTATTGTATAAAAGATAATAAAAACCATGTAATCAATTTGTATTTATTTCAGTGTGCTATTAATTGTTTAACATAATTTATAGACATTGCATATGCAGCGTACATGATGTATTTGAGTGTTTCTCGAAAAATTACATCTCACCTGCTCCGCTACATTACTGAAAACCTAAGAAAGTGAAAGTAAGATCATGGGTAAATATAAGACTTACAGTATACAGCCTTACTTTGACTTAATGCCTACTGTTACTATACTAGAGCTTGCCACAGCAATATGCAGTTGAAGTCAGAATTATTAGCCCCCCTTTGAATTCTTTTAATTTTTTTAATATTTGCCAAATTATATTTCACAGAGCAAGGAAATTTTCACAGTATGTCTGATAATGTTTTTTCTTCCGGAGAAAGTCTTATTTGCTTTATTTCAGCTGGAATAAAAGCAGTTTTTAATTTTTATAAAAACATTTTAAGATCAAAATTATTAGCTCCTTTAAGCTAACTTTTTTTCGATAGTCTACAGAACAAACCATCGTTATACAATTACTTGCCTAATTACCCTAACCTGCCTAGTTCACCTAATTAACCTAGTTAAGCCTTTAAATGTCACTTTAAGCTGTATAAAAGTGTCTTGAAAAATATCTTGTCAAATATTATTTACTGTCATCATGACAAAGATAAAATAAATCAGTTATTAAAGATGAGTTATTAAAACTATAATGTCCAGAAATGTGTTAAAGAAATATACAGGAAAAAATAAACAGGGGGCTAATAATTCTGACTTCAACTCTATACATACATACATATATATTTGTAGGGGGCAGTTAGTAAGACTTTTATCACGTGGGAAAAAAACGTTGTTAATCTATTCTCAAAGTTGGGTTGGGAGCTGCAGTTCGGCAGTGTAACGCCGGGGAGTAACACCACAACAGAAGGTAGGATCCAATATGCAGGTTTATTCACAGTCAGGCAACCAGTGGTCAATACGGGAGCAAACAGGTGTGTGAGGAAAATCCAGAATCGTAGTCAATTTAACAAGCAAGAGGTCGAAAGGCAGGCGGCAGACAAGGATAACTAAATAAACACGGCTAGGTTCAAAACACAGGAAAACAAGACAAGGAAAACGCGTTGTAATGCTATTTTACAGTGAACAAGACTCGGCCAACTGAAGGAGTAAATGTGTGGCTTAAATAATGTGTGTTAATCAGTCTTTGAAAGTTCTCAGGTGTGCGAAAGTAATCAAGCTAAATGAGGAAGCAGGTGTGTGGGCGAAGAGCATGTATGAAGTTGAAGTCCATTTACAAACACATTTGTAGTTCTGTGAGTGAGAACGTTTTCCAGCGACCTCTGGTGGTTAGAGATCGCTGGTGAATGTGACAGGCAGTTTCACTTTAACTCGTGAACATTTCATTCATCCCCCTTGACAAACTGGTATTAGACGCAAATAAGGAGTAAGGGCTTGTGAGAGTGTTATGGAATTGAATAATGCACGCCAAATGGAAAGAAAAAAACTTCCGGATTTCGCAATGTGTGTGTGTCTGTGTGTGTGGTCTTGCGCGGTTCTTTACTGACAGCCGTGTGTGTGGATCTTGCCGGAAAATATGGCGAAAAGTCCTACATGACAGTAATGTCTGAGTTTAAGTAATATAACAAATTATATTTGTGTGTAAACATTTGATTAGACAGTACTGAAGCCAAATCTGGAGCTTATCTAACAAAATAACTTCCAACGATTAAATAAATTAGTAACCCAAATATGTTTGGGAAATGTAAATGTTTGGAAAAAATATTAAATAACATTTTCGAAAATAGCAAAAATCAAGAGAAACAAAAAATATATATCTAAAATTTTGTTCAAGTGTTATATTTTTACATGAATTTAATTCTGTTCTCTTTTCATTTCTAAAAATGTTCTACGACTAAAATATCATTTTAATCAATATATCTAGAGCACTTTTTGAGGTCAGAGGAGTGAGGTTTTGCCTGCATTGCACTAGCAGGCCTCTGTTACACTCACCCCCCTAAACTGCTCTTTCATCCCGGACGAGCCCCCAGTTGTAACCCTATTGTCCTACTGCGCCCAACCCGGCGATTCATTGGATTGGAGTCGGTTGCTCTAAAAAGAAGACTAAAGACCATGGCCTCTAGCGTCTGTCACTAACATGATCATTATGTAATTGTTATTGCAAAAATCACAATATTTAGCTACACACAACAAAAAAACAAACACTGCTTCTGCGCTCACCTCTTTAATTATTTAGTCATAAATATGCAGATATGCTCGGTCGATTTTACCCTTCGCTCTTCTTTGTCATTAACAGTAAATTGGAAACTACATTTTAAACAGTTTTTTTTTCATATTTTACCCAAATTTGTCCATAATTAATATATTTTTGAACTATATATGTCGGAACCAAGTATAGTATTGAAGCAAGAGAAAAATGATTGTCGATTGTGACCTATTTGTGCTAGTGAAAGGATCTGCTGTTTGTGTACAAATCGGTATTTTTAAAGCATTGGATTTGCAGCTCAGACTGATAATGATGATGATGCATCTGGTTCATGGCCAATTATGTGTAACGCTGCATCCCCCGAGAGGATTTTCACCCGTGAGTAAAATCCACTCGTGTGTGTGTGTGTGTTTGCTTGATTTGGATAGTAAAGTTTGTGAGGGTTATGAAAGAATATGAGCTTAAAATATGTACCAATAAGTTTGGTATAAGTGAAGCTTAATCTACTATAATAAATTATATTTGTCCCATATTTTCTTTAAAGACAAGCAAATTTGAGTTTAAAATAAGGCTAAATAAAGCCAATTTTAAGATAACTGAAGGTGAATCTGACTTCTGAATCTTGCTTTTTTTCATGCAGCGGTTGAATTTGGGCTGTTTTGCTTTAATAAATGAAGCCTTTGTATAAATGTGCTTTCTCAAAATCAGTTCTCCACAAATTATTACTTTTCATTTAGTTCTTCTGCAAAAATGTAAAAACAATAGTAATAATTGATTACTTAAAATTATGATAACCAGATTATTATTAATATTATGATATTGTTATTATTATTTTTATTATTATTAATTGTTATGATAACTGTATTATTATTAATAATAAAACAATAATTTAAAATTTGCCAATATTCAATATTTTCTGAATATTTATACAGATCAGTACAGAATTGAACTATTTCTGGCCTTTTCTCACTGTTAATTCTGAATACATTTAATAATGTTTACTAATAAAACCTATTGTAATTGTAATTTATTGCATTCATCTTTTGTATTTTTTGTTATTATATAACTATTAAAGTAACCTTTTTTGCAGGTTAGGTAAATATCATTATAATACTGTATACCATGAGTGCATCCACTTTATTTACTGTCATAAAAATAATAATATTAATAATAATATTTAATAATAAGTTTATTTTTCAGTGCTTTACAGGGCTTAAGGATGCATTACAACAAAATTAGGAGAACAGAAAACACGTAAAAGGATACATGTACAAATTAAAAGGATAAACATTAATAATAATAATAATAAAATTAAATACAATAATAAAAAATAACAATTATAATAATAAAAACTAATTAAAATAATAAAATACAATAGAAATTGTATATTATTAATAATAATAATAATAAATAATCAAATAAATAATAATAATAATAATAATTAAAAAACAAATAAATTATAATAACATTAAATAAATAAAATAATGTAATAATTTAATAAATTATTTATTTCAATGAGTAAATCAAATAAAATAATAATGTGAAACACATCTAAAAAATAAACATAATAGTAATAGTAACCATAATGAAATAATAATAAACAAATAAATTCTAATACAATAAAATAAATCTTAAAAAAAAAATCATTGCAATAAATAAATTCAAATAAAACAATAAAATAAAAATTTAAACGTAATAATAATAATAATAATAATAATTATTATTATTATTATTATTATTATAAAATAATTTAATTAGATACAATTAAAAATGAATGTAATAATAATAATAAAACAACAATAATAATAAAATAAATAATAGTAATAATAAAATAATAGTAATAATAATAATAAATAAAATAATAATAATAATGATAAAATAAATCCTAAAACAATATTTCAATAAATAAATCCTAATAAAAGAATTAAATTAAATACAATTTAAAAATGAACATAATAATAACTCAAATAAATAATAATGATAATAAAACCAATAAATAACAACAAAATACAATAAACCTAAATAAAATCATTCATTTCACTTAACAAGTCCTAATAATAATAATAATAATTTATATTTCAATTATTAAATATTTAAATAATAATAATGAAAATCCATCTTGTAATAGATACTCAC